TTGTCATCGAGCTGGGCATTGGTTCACGTTTCCCCGAGTGGCATCTTTGTATTATTACTACTGTTAGTCCGCCCTCGTTGCGATCGATCTGCCCCCCCTCCTTTGCAACTATCAACAAGAACCCCGCGACGGTTCTGTCACCCTCCCACACTTCCCATCCATATATCCTCGCCTCTTCCATTCGATCGTTCCCCCGGTTTCATACTAATTTTCCATCGCGTGAGTAGGTTCGAAGTCTCTTGAGAGAACGCGACTTTCTCGTCTTCGGACCACCTTGCCACCATGGACGGGGACGACCTTATTGCCTCGGTTTACCGCAAGATCGAGCGGGAGAAGGCTCTCATCAATGCGGCGTCGAACATGCGGCAGTCGACCGATAACCCGCTCGTGCAGCAGAGAGTCGATGCTAATATTCGCGATGGTCGGAAAAACATCGCCTACCTCGAAGAGAAGATGCGGGAGCTGCAGCTCCGACAGATGAAGCAGGAAGGGGCTTCCCCCACAGACAAACGTCTTCCTCCAAATCCCGATGGGTCGGGCCCAGTTCCTCCTCCGAAAGATTACGCATCTGGCTATCCTGGTCACGAGAAGGAGTATGGGGATGCTTCTGGGGCTTATCCGCATGGAGGGGCAGGGTCCATGCCGTCCGGAGCGCCCTTTGCGGATCCTCGTCCTTTTGCCCCCGTTCCCAAGGCTCGGCCGAATTACACTAAACTTGGTAGGTTCTACTGCTTGTTTGTCGTGCGGATGCGATGTTGTAGCTTGTTTGAGGTGTTTTAGCGGAGGTCGCGTGAGATCGTCTACTGACATGGGACCGTTTGCGTATAGATCTGATCAAGTACGACACTCCTTATCTTGGACCGAAGATTCAGCTCATGTTATCTCAGCTGGAATTTAAATTGAGCGTTGAGAAGCAATACAAAGCCGGTATTGAGAAGATGGTCCGTTTATATCAAGATGAGGGCGATAGGAAGAGCCGACAGGACGCAGAGGGGAGGCGAATCGAGAGTAATCAGAAGATTCAGCTGCTCAAGCAGGCTCTCAAACGATACGAGGACCTTCATGTGGATATTGAATCCGCCGAAGCACCTGACGGTATGTCGCCAGCCTCTGCTTGTTGCCTGATCTTCGCAAATCTGCGGTTACTGACTTGGTTTGATCAGACGAAAGCTTGAGCACACCAAACATGCGCAAGCCGTTGACCGGTTTATTAACATTGCGTATTCATGCTGTGAAGGATGTCGATCATGCTGCCAGCTCAAGGTTCTCCAGAGGTCCTGAGACTTTTGTCGTTGTCAAAGTAGAGGATGCCATCAAAGCGAGAACGAAAGCTACCAGAACCGACAGATGGCAAGATGAGGCGTTTAACATGGAAATTGACAAAGCGAATGAAATCGAGCTTACCGTATACGACAAGTCGGGCGATCGGCCCACCCCTATTGGCATGCTCTGGGTGCGCATATCTGACATCGCCGAAGAAATGCGCCGCAAGAAGATCGAGTCGGAGTTTAACGCATCGGGCTGGGTCTCTGCAGACAAGATGGAACATGGGGGCGCACATGGTAGGCAAGACGCTGGCGGGGCGCCGGGCTCGTCCAATCAACCACCCTCTGGAGGTCATCCTGGCGCTCCAGGTCAAGGATATGCCGGTGGTGCTCCTGGCGGCCCTTCTGCAGGGCCAGTCCTGATCGACACTTGGTTCGCGCTTGAGCCAGTTGGTCGTATCCACTTGACGCTGAGCTTCGGTGAGTATCTGTATATTACATTTTTCACTACTTCAGCGCACTGACATATTTCTATAGCCAAGCAATTGAAGGATCGCCGCCCTTTCGATATCGGTCTCAACCGTCAAGGTGCCGTCCGACAGAAGAAGGAGGAGGTTCACGAGAAGCAGGGTCACAAGTTTGTCACGCAGCAATTCTACAACATCATGCGCTGTGCCCTTTGTGGTGATTTCTTGAAATATGCTGCCGGCATGCAGTGTGCCGACTGTAAATATACCTGTCACCGAAAGTGCTATCCAAAGGTCGTCACCAAGTGTATCAGCAAGGCCAACTACGAAACGGACCCCGACGAGGAGAAGATCAACCACCGTATTCCGCATCGCTTCGAGGGATTCTCCAACCTCTCGGCCAATTGGTGTTGTCACTGCGGATACCTGCTTCCTTTCGGACGAAAGAGCGCTAAGCGCTGTACAGGTATGTCTTCCTTATGACACTAGGGCATTTTTTCAATCCAGATTCTGACATATATTTGCGATTCTCTTGCAGAATGTGGTCTTACTTGCCATGCTCAATGTACCCACCTTGTCCCTGACTTCTGTGGCATGTCCATGGAAGCAGCCAACCAGATCCTGGAAACTCTCATTCGAGCGAAGAACCATAATAAATCAGCCTCTGTCAGTTCCGGTCTGAGTGGACGTACCCTTCGACCGGGAGGTCCGCCCCAGGCCCCTCAAGATAATGCTGCTCTGGCCTATCCGCAAAAGCCGGTCGAGAGTGCCTACGGTGCCCCTCAGAGGCAGCCGTCCGCCGAGGCTATCAGCGCCGCAACCAACACTTATATTCCTCCACAGTCACCGACGGCGGCTCAGCGTCAACACCTACCTCCGCGAACTTCTTCCTCGCAGAGCCCCGCAGCCGCAGCCGCCGCGGCCGCCGCCGCAGCCACAGGACTGCGTACGCCCCAGCAAGTTTCAGGTACGCTCGGTCAATCTCCCTTGCACCACGCGGTGCGCAACATGTGCCGTTGCTTACCCTACCTCTAGATCCTAACCGCCCAGTGCAACCACCGCCGTCCTCGCACGCCCACTATGACCCTGCCGCGTATGCATCCTACCAGCAAGCGATCCCTCCTCAAGCAATGCAAAAGATGGGTGCACCCTATGGCATGCCTCAACAGCAGCAGCAACAGCAGCAGCAAGCCGTTGCGCCAATACAACAACAAGTTGCCGTAAAGGAGGAAATTCCTCAGCAACCCAAAGTTAGAATTGGATTGGATCATTTCAACTTCCTAGCCGTTCTTGGTAAAGGTAACTTCGGAAAGGTCATGTTAGCAGAGACAAAGAGCACCAAGAAGCTTTATGCCATCAAGGTGCTGAAGAAGGAGTTCATCATTGAGAATGATGAAGTGGAGAGCACTAAATCCGAAAAGCGTGTCTTCCTGATCGCCAACAAGGAGCGCCATCCATTCCTTCTCAACCTTCACGCGTGTTTCCAGACAGAAACTCGTGTGTACTTTGTTATGGAATACATCAGCGGTGGTGATCTGATGCTTCACATTCAACGCGGTCAGTTTGGGCTGAAAAGAGCACAGTAAGTTGAGCACATAGAACCGCACATATCCGGAAATATCAGGAAAACTAAACGCGCACTTCACAGGTTTTATGCTGCCGAAGTTCTGTTGGCTCTCAAGTACTTCCATGAAAATGGTGTTATTTACCGTGACTTGAAGCTAGACAATATCCTCCTAACTTTAGATGGACACATCAAGATTGCCGATTACGGTCTCTGCAAGGAGAATATGTGGTATGGAAGCACAACCAGCACATTCTGTGGAACTCCGGAGTTCATGGCACCTGAGGTGAGAATCTTCGCTATTCAAGTCTTTGCATTGTCGATTAACGCTTTTACAGATTTTGCTGGACAAAAAGTATGGCCGAGCGGTCGATTGGTGGGCATTCGGTGTCCTGATTTATCAGATGCTCCTGCAACAGTCCCCTTTCCGTGGCGAAGACGAAGATGAAATCTACGATGCGATTCTTGCCGATGAGCCTCTCTATCCAATCCACATGCCTCGGGACTCAGTCTCTATCCTACAGAAATTGCTCACCCGTGAACCTGAGCTGAGATTGGGATCTGGGCCCACAGACGCTCAAGAAGTCATGTCCCATGCCTTCTTCAGGAACATCAACTGGGACGATATCTACCACAAGCGTGTTCCTCCGCCTTTCCTGCCGACGATCAGCAGCCCCACTGATACAAGCAACTTCGATCAGGAGTTCACGAGTGTGACCCCGGTACTCACACCCGTGCAGTCAGGTAAGATATCACCCGTAGGTATTGGCTGTTTCAAGGCTAACGATGTCTCGTTTCTAGTGCTCTCCCAAGCTATGCAGGAGGAGTTCCGCGGCTTCTCGTACACCGCGGACTTCGCTTAAGATACCCGGTGTTGATTGAGAATTATCGTGACATCGCCTTCATTGCTTATTCGTCCAACGAGGTCTTTGGAACCCTTTGCTTTTTTGACTTTCTTGACCAATCGCTGGTCGCCGTGAGCACTCTGTTTTTGCATTGGAGATTTTTCTTAACATACCCATGAGAGTTTTCAGAGCTGGTGTGAGCACTTTTACGGCTTGATGAGCGCGGATCGAATATACGGCTTGGTCCCGGGGTCTCTGTCTTCCTCATTCGTTTTAAAAATATTTAGGGCTAATCGCTTTAATCCTCAAGAATTCTAGTTTACCATTTCTGAGATGTGACTATGCAATGCTCTTCGTTCGATGATTGTCGCTCATCACTACCTTCTGATTCGAAGAGGTACTGACGCTTTTCCGTAGACGACGGGTGAGAGGCAAGACAAGGCAGGGTTTCGTGGAGGTCCATTAACATTTACCGCGCTTCAGGACTTCCAGCCAGTGTTGTCTCCCGATATATGGAAGCGTATGCATAACACTATCAGCTTATATTTCCTTTGTTTCATCTCGTAGGGAGCCTCGCGTTTCAAGTCTCTTTGTGTTGCTCCATGCGAACAGTCATATTCCACACGAACGTCGATAATGGCCTGGATGCAACACACCCACTGACGCCAAATTGCAAAGATGATCACTGGTAGAGTTTGACTCGGAGACTCGGTTCTTTCTCTTTGTCTTTTAGACTAATCTTTGGCATCGGCGTCCTTGATGTTCTTTGTCTGTCAACACACTTTCTCGAATCCAACAAAGAAAGAACCGTGCGGACACTAAAGATAGAATTACCTTCCATTCTTTTTTCTATCCTACCATGGCACTGCGAAATGCACTCGCTCTTTCAGACGGTAGCAAGTCTAGTCTCTTGTGCCCTATTCGAGGGCGAGTGGAAGATGGACATAATGCGTCGGTCTCCACCAAGCGCTCCCTCGAGTCACTCTTCCCGGGCAAGGACCTGTATCTCTCTGACTCTTCAGAATCTTCCCTATCCTCTTGCAAAACACTTGAGACCATCAGTGATTTTGATGCGAATAGAACTTTGATCCCTCAGCAGATAAGCCATTACCAATACGGAGCCGAGTCTATTGCACCTTGGAGTGAAACAAATGTGAGCGACACCGTGCCACCGATAGACACGACGACAGGAGCTACAGTTACTAAACAAGCAAAGCAAGCCACGAAGATGTCAGAATATGCGGAAAGGTTCAGAATTCGAAGAAAACGAGTTACAAACCCGAAAGACGTCGATGACGAAGAGAGCCTTAACGACGACTTGATGTGTCCGTCTGGCATGAAAAGCACAGGAGACGCTACTAGCAGGAGAGCAAACAAAAGCCGCGACCTGGACCCTTCTTATGACCCAAATCAAGATGACGAGGACCTGGATGAAGATGATCAGCTCTCCCTAAGGATTCCCAAAGATGGTCGGAGGAAACGAGCTCTCGACCCGACATATACTCCAGGCAAGGATGACGCCGGTGAAGATGATGACGATGAACAACTTCCAACGGGCTCACAGCAAAAGAAGAGAAGAACTTTGGACCCTGCCTTTGTTCCTGACAAAGATGACGACGAAGACCAGGACAAGTTCCTGGGTTCATCGAAGAGGGGCAGAGGCAGGACTACAGACAAACGAACCTCGAAAAGGAAAGCGACCTCTGATATTGGAGTTGGGAATCTACCTACTCCTAGCAAAGACACACCTTCTCGAGCCGCGAAAAGGATGAAGATCGAACCATCGCCTCCTCCAAGAATCCCCGTTTCTCCGGCTCTCACAGATCCTCAGCCTGATAACTCTGACGAAGATGCGGTCACCAAAAAACCGTGGGAGCTTGTAAACGCCAAAACAGAGCCAAACCACCCCTTGGTGTTGAAAGCGATGAAGCTCCTCAACAAGATTGCGGATGATAGAAACAAGGCCTTCTTCGCGCTCGCCAAAGCTCATCAACGCTCTCGAAAAAATTATCCGGCCCACTTGGCAGATAATACAAATGACGAGGCTCATACCCAGGGTAAGGTAAACTCTTCACGAAAGAGAAACCAAAACTGACGCCGTTGTGCGGCACTCAGACTCTGCCGCGCGAGTAGGCGATACTCTAGCGATTCAGGAAGATGAAGCAAACGATTCTGTACCAGACCTGTCCCTGGAAAGAGCGAAGCGCTGGGCAAACGCTGTCAATGTGCCCAAGGGTCTCTGGAGCGAAGTGGAGAAACAACTTTTCTATCGAATCGCCATGAGGGGATTTGAACCTTTGCTTCCCAAGCAGTGGCATTACGACTTCTCCACACTGCCGAATCCTCTGTTCGCTGTTTCTGGTGAGAAACCGTCGCCGTTGATCAATGCAATCAGAGGCTCGGAGTTCTACGGTAAGTTGGAGCTCAGCCATGCAATTTGCCTTTGATAGTCCGCTGAGTATGTTGCAGCAATCAGGTCACTTTCCGTTCTATTCTCTCTCGGCGGTTATGTGAGAGACTGCAACCTTGTGCATCGTCGACCTGAGCCCATCATAAAACGAGCAATTAGCAAGTACATTCGCTGGGCTGTGTATGATGCAGGTCTACATGTCAGCTCAAATGCAATACCCTTGTATGCAATAGGCGCTAGGAAGAGAGGAGAAAGTACCGTCAAGGCTGTGGTGAAAGTGAACCGACGTCTACAAAAGCTGGCGGATCGGTTTCGAAGTGCCTATGGCCTTGCATCCGCTACAAAAGCGCTTGTGGTACCTGCCAATAGAGCAAAAGCAAGAGCACCGAATAGGCCCCCTCTTCTTACGGGCTTTGTTATCAGCGGCCCAGTGGTCGCCATCTTAACCCTGAACACCGACCCTTCCGCCGCAAATGGTCAACGGGGAACTGAAGATAGCCATTTCATTTGCCAACTCGATCTCAGTGAACAGGGTCAAGATGTGTGGAACTCACTTGCAGTGGCAATATCTGTCATGCATATCCGCAACACCATGATGGAGCTTGCCGAGCATGATTTGGCAGGTTTGTGCAGATTTAATGCAGATGCACATGTGGTAGTGGACCAAGATCTGTGAGCATCATGCTTTGGGACATATCGTTACATCAATTAGTCAGAACTCAGTTTGACTCTGGGGCTCCCTTTCTCTTACCAGCGTTTAGCGAATTCAGTGATTTGCTTTTATCCTTGGAGTTAATGTAGCAAAATGTATGTAACTGGATACAGCCATACGCCAGTAGCAATCGATCACCCTGTAGTAGTGCCTAGCTCAGCAAACTTCCAGATATTCAAATTTGAACCATATTTGCTCTGCCATATGACCTTTTCAGTTGGGATCAGAATCATCAGATCGTGCTATCAGTCCCAAACTGACCATGCTCAGTATATATCACGTGACCATGACCAATGTCTCCCCGCTGTTTGTTGATTGACAGAGTCGCTGAAGCACAAATCCACTCAAGGTGCAAAGTTTCGTGATGGATGAAAGTGACGATAGGGAGATCAAGTTACAGAGAGCTTCCGGTGACTTGGTCAAGGAATTCTCCGCCAAGCTGCCGTCTCTACTCTGGAAACCACGCAATGAGGAGAGACAGAGTATTCGAGTCCCGCGAAGATGGACGCAGGCTGCCAAAGCAGAGAGACTTATAAACCTTGTAAGAGCATTCGTTCTCTAAATACAGTTGATATGACTTGTTCACAGTGTTACTCTACAGCTTGAGCCTTTCCAAGAATGGCCGCAGCTGCTAGACCCGCATCTGCAGGCGCTTCTGCCTCCTCTGGTGGATGCTTTCCTCGCCTACCTGGTCAAGTATCGCGACCAATATGGCTCTAGAGCCCCCAAGGCAGAGCAGCAGGTACTGTATCCCTTGCCAAGGGCCATCTGCCGACTTCTCTACACCTTTTGCAAGGTCCGCGGGGTCAAAGTTATCAGTCGGTTTTTGAACAATGAGCCCAAGTACCTTGATCCTATGTTGCGGGCGTTCATCGAGTGGGATGCACTCGCTGCCGATGAACATTACGGAGAAAATCCGCGACAATTAGTTTGGGAGGAGCGCTACGTGATGCTGATTTGGCTTTCCCATTTATTGCTCGCCCCCTTTGACCTTTCGTCCTTGTCCTCGGATGATATCCCGGTACCGTTCGACAATCTGGTTCAAATCAAGCCATTACCGGCACATGCGCCAATGGTAGCAAAGACTCTACTTTCGGTGACTCTGAAATATGTCAACGTCCCAGGTAAAGAACGGGAGGCTGCCACTCTGTTGCTTGCGCGGCTTATTTTGCGGCGGGATATGCAAGCCCTTGGGCTCCTGACTAATCTTACAGAATGGGCTTTTGCTATCTTGAATCCTGGAAAAAGTGAAGAGCTCCCTTCTGTCTACACGTGTATCGGTGTTTTGTCTTTCCTGGGACGATTAGGCGCTTCAGGCCAGGTGGATGACTTTGCGCCCTTGATCATCCCCACCTTTGAACGCACTCTGCATATTGCACAGGAGCGAACGGGTGTATCTGAGATCATCAGTTCGTCTGCTCTTGCTCGCAAGACTATCATCAAGATTCTGCGAACTGTGACAGTCATGGCACTGTCAATTAGCGAAAGACCAAACAGCCCAATTCCAGCGGACAAAGTTTCTTCGATTCTGGAAGATTCAATCGATCACTTGTTGGTGTCTCTCGCTGATAAGGATACACCTGTCCGCCTCGCCGCAAGCAAAGCACTCAGTATCATTACTCTGAAGTTGGACCCGGACATGACGTCTGAAGTTATCGAGGCTGTCACTGGCTCCCTAGAAGAGAATATACTTTACGAGAAGCCGGATGGCACAATTGTCGCACCGTTCGAAGCGCGAAAGATTGGGCTGAATCTACTGAAGCGAAACTTGAATGCGGTAGATGCGCAAAGGTGGCAAGGCTTGATACTCACACTGGGGCATTTACTCTTTCGACGCGCTCCCCCAACCCATCAACTTCCACATGTACTGCAGCCGCTAACCTCTGGTCTCGATTTCGAACAACGATCGTCTACGGGAAGCTCGGTAGGCACCGGCGTCCGAGATGCTTCGTGTTTCGGAATATGGGCAATCTCTCGCAAATACACGACCCAGGAACTGTTGACCTTGAACACGCAAACGATAAGTACTCCATCGCGTCAGGATGAAAAGAGCATCTTGCAAATGCTGGCAACAGAATTAGTATGTGCCGCTTGTATGGATCCTTCAGGGAATATCCGAAGAGGCGCCTCTGCTGCTCTGCAGGAGCTGATCGGCCGCCATCCCAACACCATTGCCGAGGGGATTTCATTAGTTCAGGTGGTGGATTATCATGCAGTTGCGAGACGATCACGAGCGATGATTGACGTTGCGAAAGCCACCGTTGCACTAAGTCACCATTACTGGAGTCCACTTGTGGAATCTCTGTTGGGCTGGCGAGGAATCGGATCTCCGGATGCTGAGTCCAGAAGACAGGCCGCAAAAGCAATCGGAGAACTCAGTATCCACGAATCGTACAAGACGATTAGCGTAGTGCTTCACCGATTACGGCATAAGCTATTGAGTCTTCCTCGCGGTGATGTCGAGGCGAGACATGGCTGTTTGCTGTCTATTTCCGCCACAGTAGATGCCTTCAATGCGCACAGAGCCACAGCGAGGTACAGCAAGGTACAATCTGAAGCCATTCTTGTTGCCCAACAAGTTACCGATCTTTGGGACATTTTTAGCTCAGCAGTCGGCCCTACCAAGGAGGACCTAACACTCCAAATTTCTCGGCCGGAATTGACAGCTGAAGCCTCATCGCGCTTGATTCGTTCGCTTTCCCAATCAGTTACCCAAGGAAATGAGCCTACTTGCTTTCAGCCATCGTCTTCTTCACTGGACCGAGCACATGAGACCCTCTTGCTATGTTTATCTCGGAGTGAAGATGTTGCTATCGAAGCATCATCTGAAGCTGTATCCGAGTTCTTCCCTCTTCTATCATCATCTAAACAGGAAGAAACGATCCAAGATTGGTTCGCACACATTCGTGCTACTTGGAAGCTGCCAACGGGCCGAGGACAGATCTCGGTTCTAGGGGCGGTGTTCAGGCAACTTGAACCCGTCAATAGTCTGAGACAGTCTGTGGTCGAGACGTTGCTTCGCTGCAGTGATAAGGAGGAGTTGATCGAGAAGAGGGTAGTAGCGGTCAAAAGTTTGACTACAGGGGTTTTGCCCTATATCGGTGAGTTTAACATATAGCAAATGAAATTATCTGCTGACTGCAAGGCAGCTATCACGGAGGATATTGCGAATCATATCATTAAATTTCTGAATGACTACACGACTGACAGGCGAGGCGATGTTGGGTCCTTGCTGAGACTGGAGGCAATTCAAGCTGCGAAGATTATCCTCAGACATCAATCTCGTCCTGGATCCCGCTCTATTTATGCCCAGAATATAGTGGGCTGTCTTTGCCGGCTCGCTGCAGAAAAGTTGGACAAAGTCCGTCTACAAGCTTGGATTTGTCTACAGGAATTCTGGGTGTCTGCCGAAGACTTTCCATCGTTACAGCAGTAAGAGAAAAGTATGATCGAATCGGTAGTACCACTGCTGACTGAGGCAGAAAATATGACCATTTCAGCCATGTGTCTTCGACCGAATACTTCCTTCAGTTACTTCAGCTGCAAGCGATCGATTGGCTACGCTTACCATTGTTTGAGGGATTGGCAACATCTGCTGTTGCCGGTGCTGAAGGGCTCGTCCGTTCTACTCGCCTAGCACTGGTGCAGAGCCTCAGCAGCTACAGTGGAACGGAGCAGCAGATCAAAGCGCGCGCTATTTTGAAGGACCTTGGAGTCATATTGAGCGATAATCTGCACGATGATCGCTATGCCATACCGTCAATGGAATTTGCAGCGTTTCTTTTGGATGGTTATGTCTCCTCAGTGCCTGAAGAGTCTGAACCGAGGTGCGTTATTGGCAAAGAAGACCTTAGCTGAAATCGGCTGACTTTGATGTAGTTTCAGAAAGCTCTTCGTACTTGTGCAAAAGGCACATTTTAAGACCACGAATATGGCAAGGCTCGAAGCTGCAATCAAAGTCTACGCGCCTCTGTGTCGGTTGGAACATCTAAGGGCAGACGTCCTGAAGAAGATGGTCGGAATGCTTCTCCATCCATTTCCTAGGGTATGTAGTGTAACTCTTTTCGACACAGGCTTCTATACTGACCGACTATAGATCCGTTCAAGCGTAGCAGACTACCTATTCATGGAGACGGGGTCAGACCTTGTGAAAGACGAGGATTGGACCAAGCCCCCGAAGCAACTCAAGGATCAGGTCGAGAATTTACGGGTGACGTTACCACTGTAAAATAATAGACGGAACTGTAAATATACCTCCAAATGATGATAGTTATCTGAGTGCTCAAAGCGAATTAACGAACGGACATATCTAGACCTAGCCTACTATAAGAGCGGAAATCAGCGCCGAGGTAAGAAAACAATGAAGGCAAAATAATGATGCATCATCCGTGAATCGAACACGGGCCTCGTCGATGGCAACGACGAATTCTACCACTAGACCAATGATGCTACCATATACCGTAGAGACTGCCCAAAAACATATATAACCCATTTTCTAGATATGGAGTAGGTTATCTCCAGATCAAACGGAAGTTCCGAAGGTCGATACAGAAAGTCAGTAGTTTGAAACATCCAAGCTCACGACAAGGGCTCAACGGTCGCAACCATGGCCGCATTACCAGCGTCTACCCCCTCTCTTCCCCCTAATCCTACGTGAGTGGCCATTGACTGATACAATCTCTGGAAGCTACATTGTGCTAACGAAAGCTACGCTCCACAGTGTCTATGTGTGTCCCCTCGTCTCCATGCTACAGCGAACGAACAGCGCATCTAACATCCCTGACAAAAACAGGTCCGCAATTTAGAGGAACGCATCAAGATCGGTCAGCTCAAAGTGGCCTTGGAAGAGATCTTCTCCGAGTACGGCAATGTCGTGGAGATCGTCGCGAAGACCAACCTGAAGGCCAGAGGCCAGGCTTTCATTGTCTTTGACAACGTCGAATCCGCGACCCGCGCCATCGAGG